CTCTTTCTCGCAATCGAATTTCTTATCTTCTTACAATCTCGTCGCCTTACAACTGTTCTCGAATCATTCCAGATCTGCGAATTTCTTCTTGTGGTAAGAGTTATTTCTCTGTCATATTTATCTTCTTATCTTCTTACAATCTCGTCGCCTTACCACACATCGGAGTAAGGGTAAATGAATGTTTAGCAAATAATGCGTTTGATTATTTCGACGTGATATTTGGCATTTACGCTTTGCTTTCTTATGAGTTTGTCTGAATTCTCGATATCGGCATAATTTATAGCATATCCGACATCTATAAACTCTTTATCAGAACAAGTCATAGTCAACCTGCTTTTATTGTATGTCTTTGAATGTTTCAAAGGACTCAGAAATATTTATTGTAAGCTCATCAAATCAACGTCGGGATTTGAAATTGTAGAGCATAAGCCTCCCCAAACCATCTTCAGGGCTTGGAAGTATCCGGCTTTGTCGCGTTTGGCTAGGTCATACCAACTTCAGGGTATGAAACACGTTTAGCTTTAGCATCGAGGACCGATTTATTGAGGTCCGAGTGATCGAACAAATTATAGTGGTTCGACACACAAACTTTATTGACAACAAAAAATGATTCTTGTACATGGGTAGGACAAAAGACTTTCATACATCGGAGAAAAGGGTTCAGCCCTCAGGTTTACTGAAAGTACTTCTTCAGATAAGTCGCATGCCAAGGGTACTGAAGGGGAACACCATTTAGAGTTTCAAGTCGGTAGGTATCATTAGAAATCAGACGGTTCACTTTGAAGGGTCCTTCCCACTTCGGCTGCAACGGACCGAGATTGGCCCCGGTAACTCTCTTCAACACGAGGTCTCCTACGACGAATGAGCGCGGCTTGAGTTTCGAATTGATGTATTTCTCACTACGTCGTTTATAAGCGGCATTCCGAATTTCAACGTCGGTCTGTAGTTCATCGACCAAATCGAGATTGGCTCTCAGGTTTCCTGAGTTGGCTTCTTCAGAAAAGTGAGTAATCCGATATGTTGGAGAAGTGAGTTCAGCCAGTATTACAGCTTCAGTTCTATATGTCAATGAGAACGGGGTTTCTCCAGTTGAGTTTTGCGTCGTCGTCCGATAGGCCCAAAGGACATGGGGCAACTCATCAGGCCAAGATCCTTTGGCAGTCTCTAGTGGGTTTTCAAGCCATTCTTGATGATTTTATTCACAGCTTCTATTTGCCCATTAGCTTGTGGATGATAAGGTGACGAGAAGAAATGCTTGATGCCATAGTCTTCACAAAAACTTTTGAATCTTTTCCCTTCGAACTGACGACCGTTGTCGGTTATAATAGAGTTGGTATCCCAAACCGACAAACGATGGACTTCCACACAAAATCGATCATTTTTTGTTCGGTGATGGTTGCAAGGGGTTCAGCCTCTACCCATTTGGTGAAATAGTCGACAGCCAATATCGCAAATCGAACACCTCCCTTTGCTGTCGGAAGCGGACCAATTAAATCAATTCCCCATTTTGCGAACGGCCATGGACTATATATTGACTTGAGGAGTTCAGGATGTTGATTAACATTAGGAGCAAATATCTGGCACTTATGACATTTTCGTACCCAGTCCGCGGCGTCTTTCTTGACAGTCGGCCAATAGTAACCTTGTCGGAGAATCTTGTGGGATAATGCTTGTACTCCATGGTGGGTACCGCAGACACCTTCATGTACCTCTTGAAGAATGCGTCGAGCGTCAGTCTCCGACAAGCATTTAAGCAATGGAGTAGAATATCCACGCTTGTATAGTGTTTCTTGATCGATCGTGAAAAGAGCGGCACGAACACGAAGGGTGCGAGCTTCTTTTGGGTCTTCAGGCACGGCTCCGGTCTGAAGGTAGTTGATGATTGGATCCATCCAAGTTGAATTTGGAATTGGCGAAGCAGCCTCGATCATAGCGACGTCGGTAGAGACTGTTGAAGAAGTCGTCTCTTGGGTGATTTGCACAAATTCGACATTATTCAAATCGGTTGAAGAGGCCAAGCGTGAGAGAGCATCTGCTTGAATGTTTGACGATCGAGGTATATGTTCCAACGTCATTTTGAATCGCGATAACTTCTTCTTGACAAGGTCAAAATAAGGCAGCAATCGTGGTTCCTTAACTTCATAAGTGCCATTGATGTGGCTGACTAATAACTGAGAGTCAGAAAATATGTGGAGGGAGGAAACATTCATGGATTCAGCAAAACGTAGACTTGATAAGAGAGCTTTATATTCAGCTTCATTATTTGTTGCCGGGAAAGTGAATGCCACAGAGTAACAAAACACTTGTTGATCAGGACTGACTAAAACGATTCCTCCTCCAGCTCGTATAGCGGTGGATGATCCATCAATGTAGAGAGTCCACGTCGGATCCTAAATTGATGTGCTAACAGATGGGGTGAACTCTGCTATGAAGTCGGATAACACCTGGGCTTTGATGGCAGTCCGTGGGCGATACTGAATGTCAAATTGTCCAAGTTCTATAGCCCATTTGATCATCCTTCCCGACGTGTCAGGTCGATGGAGGACTTGTCGGAGAGGATATGATGTAAACACAACAACAGAATGTTCCAGAAAATATGGTCGCAACTTTCGTGCAGCAATGATCAATGCAAAAGCTAGTTTCTCCATATGCGGATATCGCAATTCAGCGTCATGTAAAGCCTTTCTAACATAATATATTGGGAACTGTTGGAGTCCATCTTGTCGTATAAGAACAGTGCTGACAGCAACATCACTTACTCCCAGATACAAATATAAAAGTTCATCGGAGAGAGGTTTTTGCAACGTCGGTAGTTGTGAAAGAACTTCTTTGATATTATCAAAAGCATTCTGACATTCAGTGGTCTATTCAAATGGCTTCTTCTTTCTGATGGCGTCGAAGAAAGGCTTACAATGATCCGTCGACTTTGAAATGAATCGATTTAGAGCTGCTAGTTGACCAGTTAAAGCTTGAACTCCTTTGATGGACGTCGGAGGAGCCAAATCAAGTATGGCTTGAATCTTGACGGGATTAGCTTCGATTCCTCTCTGGCTCACCATGTATCCTAGAAATTTCCCTGATCCAACCCCGAAGGTGCACTTCTTGGGATTAAGCACCATTGAATATTCACGAAGGATGTCAAAGACTTCGGAAAGATAGGCAATATGATGGGAGGCTTGTTCTGATTTCACCAGCATGTCGTCTACGTAAACTTCCATTGTGCGACCGATCAAGCGAGCGAACATCTTATTGACCAACCTTTGATACGTGGCCCCCGCATTCTTCAATCCAAAAGTCATCATGACATAACAATAAAGACCTCGGGCCGAATAAAACGAAGTATGTTCAGCATCGTCGGGGTGCATGGGGATTTGATTGTAACCGGAATAGGCGTCCAAAAAACTCATGAGCTGGTGTCCCGATGTAGCGTCTACCATGTAATCAATATGTGGAATTGTATAGCTATCTTTCGGGCATGCCTGGTTCAAATCTGAGAAATCAATGCATAAGCGCCAAAGACCAGTAGCTTTCTTAACCAAAACAGGATTTGATATCCACGTCGGATATTTTGCTTCTTTAACGAACTTGTTGTCTATAAGCTTGTTCACTTCCTCTTCAAGAGCCTTCTGACGATCTGGCCCAAATTTTCGACGCTTCTGAATAACGGGCTTGACGGTCTTATCCAAATTTCGTCGGTGACACGCTTTCTGCGGGTCTATCCCCTTCATATCTTTATGCTTCCAAGCGAACACGTCAGAATTTGACCGAAGAAATTGAATTAAGTGCGAACGTGTGGGTTCTTGAAGACTAGCTCCAATGCGCAACAATTTTTCTTGAGTTAGTTCATCCACGTAAATAATTTTGACATCTTCAACTGGTTTCGCCCGAACGTGATGACTCTTATCTTTGAATTGTATCCTTGGATCTATATCTTCGTGCGCTCTCATATCCTCCGCAGAAAGAGGTTGTCCTTGGTCGAGGGTTCCATCCGAGGTTTCAGGCAAATCCGACATTTCAATGATATCGGTATCAGGGACAGAGGAGATGTCGGTATTTGAAGCAGATTGATCTATCATTGTTGCGTCATGAAGGATTGGATCTTTCAACTCAATAGAGCCATCAGTCTCCTGTACCTCGCATACATGAAGATTTCGTGAAGTTGAGAGCAACGTCAGACTTCGCGCCTCTCGCTGATCTCCATAGTGAGTGTCTTCTTCTTCAATGGTGGGGAACTTCAAGGCATAGTGAAAAAATTGACACAGCAGCGCGGAGTTTGTAAAGAGCAGTTCGCCCTACAACAACATTGTACTCATTTTGAACATCCAAGACTTTGAAGGTTTCCATAATGATCTTGGATTTTGGTCCAAAGCCACCAAATCGTATGGGGAGTAATATTTCACCGATAGGACAAGAAATACTTCCGTTAAAACCTTGAATCTGATCATTACAGGGCCTAATGTCCGCAGGATCCAAACCCAATTTCTTGAATGTGCGAAACATCAAAATACTTGAATATGCTCCGGTATCAACCATAATTCGATGTACAGGGATTCTTCCAATCGGAGCAGTGATAATGAGGGCGTCGGAATGAGGATGAGCGAACAGATTGGCATCTTCGATACTGAATGTGATAGGACAATTTCGTTTGTTAATAGTATCTCGAAGATCAACGTTCATAACTTGCTTCCCGGCGTTTTGCGCTTCCCTAACATAGGCTTTAGCTTTTCGCCGAGACGTATCCAACTGCTTGGTATTAGAATTTACTTGGGGTATACAGTAAGAAGGGTTCAACGCGTCGTGTGTTTTGGGTTTTTTGCAGTTGTCGGTTGAAGTACCGACAAGGGTAGAAAACGTAAAAACTTCCTTATCGTTCGCACGGACTCTCTTCGGGTTAGCAAGTCGATTACCATCATCTTCTTCGTCTGAAAGATCCACGGGCCTTCCTTTCCGGCGATTGTCAAAATTTCTGAACTTTTGAAGTTGAGGCTGACCAATCAAACGTAAAAGGGCCGATAAGAGGCCGAGGCATTCATCGGTATTGTTTCCCGGAGATTTATGGTACGCACAGTATCGAGATTTGTCCAGCTTGTCTTCAAAAGTTATTACTGGTTTTGGATCAGGAATAATTCCCTTTCCTTTCAGTTCTTTAAAAATTGTGGCTGCTCCGGCCGAATAAACGGTTTGATAGCCTGTCCTCACGTTGTCGGCATACTGATCTCGGGCAGCTCTGGATTCCAGAGTATTTTCATACCCTTTTGAGTAATTCCGATATTGCGCTTTCCCAAAATTCTTCTTATTCTTCTTTTTCGCATCTGACTCAGTCTTATTCTCCCTCACCGAGAAGTCGAAACTAGGAACCGACATCGACTCCTCAGCGATAATGAATTGTTGAGCTCGTACGAGGAATTCTTGAAAAGTAGCCAGCTTGTTTTGACATAAGGTCCAGCGAAACATCGAATTGGGCTTTAACCCAGCAATTGCAGTCACTAGTAGGGTCTCAGGGTGACAAGGTTCCATGTTCTGAATTAGGTCGTTAAACCGAGATATGTAATCTTTTACGGTTTCATCATCCTTTTGTACGATATTAGTGATCGATTCTTTTGGGATAAGATAAACTTGAGCTCCGATGAAGTGTGACCGGAAAGCTGCACGTAATTGTTGCCACTTCCAAATTGAGTGAGGCAGAAGAGTATAATACCATTTTTGTGCCCGTGGCCCCAGTGTGAGGGAAAACATCCGACATCTCAAAGCATCCGAGGCTCCTTGCAAATCCATCCATGACGTATAATGGCCTAAGTGCGCGTCTGGATCCGAAGTTCCATCATACATGCCAATTTGTGGAATTTTTACCTTGGCAGGAAGTGCCTCCGCAGTAAGTTCCGGAGCCAAAGGCGAATCGGCTTCAATGATAACATTTCCCGACGTCGAGACATGTCGGGGAGAATCTTCTTGTGACTTCTGTCGAGTCTCAATTCAGCCAATCTTTTACGGAGAACCTCAATTTCTTCGGCACTATGTCTTGACATGCGATTCCATTCAATCCGACGCTGTAAATCTTCACGGTAACGAGGTACCGGTGAGATAGGTCTGGGTCGTGACGGAATTCTTTGACGATGAGCAGAGTGGCATTCAGCTGTCATCTCTTGAACAGGAGGTTCCTCTGCGACCTGGTTGTTCGTTACTGGATTAGCAGTTATATGAGTTAACTCCTCTCGATGTGGAGAAGTATGGTGTGGTTGTGACGTAGCATGTGATGTCGCCGCATGTGTTTCAGGGTCATGATGAGTAATATTTGGATGTGCCGTTGGATTCGTAGGAAACGGCGTTGATACAGGTATAGTACTCGAGTGTCTGGGCATGGATCGAGCTATAAGAGAGGTTAAACCTTGAATAAACTTCGATTTTTGAAGAAAGTTCATGATATTCGTGACCGGAGGAGGTGGTGTTGAACGCCTTGGGGAATGATTAGTCGATTGGCTCTGGCCAGGATGAGCCGTATGATCTCGACCAGATTGCGACATGGTAACTTCAAGCGAGGAGATGGCTATAACAGCGAAAGTTAACCTCAAAAACGTTAAGAGGCCCTCCTTCTAGCGCCAAACTGTTGTACCTTGTTGATATGGTTTTTGGTAAACCATATTGTTATTACTCATTGGTTGTTAGTGCTTAATAATCAGGAGATTGTGTTCTCTTAACGGGGTGGCATGCTCATGAATTCCGAAGTACTCACATATCGGACACAAACAGACTAAGAACCGACATTTTCATCAACTAAACCGACATCTCATATCGGTTACGACATGTCAGTTGTGACACGTCGGTTATAACTCATCAAGTCGATATCTATGACTTGCCGATCCGACATCGTAAGGCGGTGCCAACTCAGCACAAGTCATCATTGCGTCTTGCCAAGTGGCGTGCTACAAGAATGAGTGGCGATCAGCCGCCGTTGACTTTTCTAATATAATGATTACATTTTGGATAAATGTTGTACATTAATATAAAAGGGAGAAAGAGCTCTCCAGACATGACACAAGAAAAATCTTACTTTAATATTCAATAAACTCTGCTTTTAGGCTTTTATGTTCTTCATTGGTCTTTCTTGAATACCCAGCGTAATCTTAATTATATTATCGTTGTTAATTACCGTATAACAACAACGCCCACGCCTTCTCGACTTCATGCGATCGATGTCAACGCTCATGGAATATCGGGAGGAGGAATGAGATGCCCCTTAACACGTTTCTCCCGGTTGAGATCTTTGACGTTTGGGGGATAGACTTCATGGGACCCTTCCCGAGTTCTCATGGGTTTGAGTACATTTTGATTGGCGTGGAGTATGTCTCAGAGTGGGTTGAAGTCGTCCCAGCTAGGACTTGTGACGCTAAGGTCGTGGTGAAATTTGTGCAAGACCTCATCATCAACCGTTTCGGTGTCCCTCGAGCTATCATTAGTGATGGAGGTTCTCACTTTTGCAACCAGATTTTCAAGAAGCTTATGGAGAAGAATGGGATTGCCCACAAGGTTGCCAGGCCTTATCATCCTCAAACCTCCGGGCAAGTCGAAACGAGTAACAAGCAAATCAAAGCCATCCTTGAGCGAACCGTGAATGCCTCTAGACGTGATTGGTCCCAAAAGCTTGGGGATGCATTGTGGGCACATCGCACGGCCTACAAGGGTGTGCTAGGTATGAGTCCCTTTCGTTTGGTGTATGGAAAAGCTTGCCACTTGCCGGTGGAAGTCTAGCACAAAGCCTATTGGGCCATCCGGACTATTAATTTTGAGCTCAGCTTAGCCGGGAAGGAGCGACACTCGCAAATTGATGAGTTGGACGAGTTACGCAATGAGTCGTATGAAAGTGTCCAGATTTATAAAGACAAAGTCAAGAGGTGGCATGATTCGAAAATTCTAAGGAAAGAGCTCACAACCGGGATGAAGGTACTTCTTTTTAACTCGAGACTTCGTTTATTTCCCGGTAAATTAAGTTCAAGATGGAGTGGTATGTTCGAAATCGAGGAGGTCTTCCCCTCGAGGGTTGTTAAACTCTTTAATGCGACCGACAAAACATCTTTCCAAGTGAACGGCCACCGGATAAAACCCTATCTCGAGGGAGAGGTTAAGGATGTTCAAGTCCTTTATTCTAGGCTCGAGGAGCCAAAGTATTAATGAATTAACGGGAAAGTCGAGCTCACGACTTTAAACCGAGCACTTCGTGGGAGGCAACCCACGCATTTTTCTTTTCTTTCTTTCTTTTCTTTCCCTTTGATTTTTCTTCTCTTTATTTCTTTTCTTTTATAATAAAAAAAATATAATAATAAAATTGGAGAGCTCGGCTGACCTGCTCGACAGTACCGACTTGTTAGAGCCGAGCCAAAAAAATTGAGTAAAATCGAGAGCTACTTGAGATTGGAAGCTAACTCGAGCATTTGGAGCGAAAAATCGAAAATATGGCTAAGTATAGGAATAGACTAGGCCACAGCCGGCTCGCGTGCTCGCGTCTCAGATAGCGCCGTCGCGCTCAAAACTCGCGCGCTCGCTGCCATTCCCGCGAGCTCGCGCCGCAGGCTATGCCTTAGTCCAGCAGCAGCTCGTTCGCACAGCGGAAATTCCCTCGAGCACGATCCGTCAACTCGCGAGCTCGCCTTGTTTTCCGCGAGCTCGCGCCGCTCTCCATGCGCAACATCCCAGTCGTGCCTCATCCGCTAGGTGGAATCTCTCGCGTGCGCGCAACCGAAGCTCTCGACCACGCCGCGAATTCCGCGACCTCGTGGAGGCCAACCCGACCAACTGGCCAGCACCTGCTACTTCGCTTGGTGGAAATCACCGCGAGCACGCACCTGCGACTCTCGACCTCGCCGGTTCCTCCACGAGCTCGCCACACCTCACGACCCCGTCATCAGCAGGTGATCCTTCGCCAGACGGAAATCACAGCGACATTGCGGCCCGGCTCAGCGGTCCAAAGCCCATGTCTGCTGCAGCCCGCAAGCCCAAAACTCGGCTCGGCCCTGCTCCAGCCCGCCTGTCACCTAGCCCGGCCCTGACCTAGCCCGGTTTGGGCTCTATTTGACTTCCTAAAAAAAAAAATCTAAATTCCTAAAATCTCGAACCCGTATCCCTCAGCTCAGAAAACACCCAATCCCAAAACCCCATAGCTCAAACCCTAAGCCTTTCTCCCTCAGCTCGCCTCTCCGCCGCTCTCCATCTACATCTCTTTCCCGAAAACCCGAGCTTCCGACCACCATCTCACGGCGTGCTCACGGCGACCGAGTGCAACCGTGGCGACTCTAAACCTCCGGCGACCGGCGACCTAGCTCTGCGCTCTCTCTCTCTCTCTCAGTGAACTCCCGGTGACGCACAACACGAGCATCACTTGACGTCACATCCCGACTGGTAACCCTAGTTCCAGCTGCAGCTTCCGGCTCCTTCGAGCTCTTATAACCGAGCTCCTCCACTTCCCGGTAGCCCCGAGTGCTACCGAGGTAATTGATTTCATTTTTTTCTTTGCTCGGCTTCATATTTGGGATTATAAGCGGTGTTTAAAAAAATTTCATGATCTATTTTTCGTCTTGCTTTGGTAAAATCACTAAATATTGAGCTCGTTGATTTTGGGGATATTGGGTAGTCGTGCTTATCAGTTATCAATTGCATATATTGGATATTGTTGTGCTTGGGTTGGAACACGTCTTGCCGGGCGTGTTCAAGTTTTTTTTGTAGGTACTTAATTACTCTCGAGTCGTCTCTACCATGCCGCCGAAAAAAGGAACACCCGCACTAGCACCTAAAGCAACCAAACGAAAGAAAGTAGTCGTTGAGGAGTCAGAGTCGGAATCCGAAGAAGACACACGCCCATCCCACAAGGAATCTGACTTTATCTCTCGTGCTCCATTTGTGCTTAAAAACTCCATCGAGTGGAGTGTTTACATCAAACTTCGGGATGCACAAATCCGCCAGCCTAAGGTGATGGATTTCATGCTTTATGAGAGGCTCGAAATTAAAGATGATGTCATGAAATATCTTAAAGTCCTCGGGTTGAAGAGGTATGCTGAGAAGGACAACTACGCCTTCACGAAATTGGTTTTGGAGTTCTATTGTACTTTTCAACTTGTACAAAACTGGGAAGTTGTCAAATGTCATCTAGCGGAAGCCCCCCGACAGATTACTACGAGTTTGATGAAAGACATTTTGGGGTTTTCGGAAACGGGATTGGAGGCTCCACTGGAGGGATTCGATGCTAACGAGGCATGGCGGGAACTAACCGGGTTTTCCTTGACGAGGAAGGGAGAGCTACTCAATGCGCACATTCGCGACCACGCGTTGTGCAATGTCCACCGGTTCGTCGCCTATAATGTCTTTGGGAAAAAGGAGGCGACAAAGGTGAACTCAAGTGAGATCTTCATGCTCCATTGCGCCCTCCATAACATATCGGTGAACCCCCTTCCTTTCATTTGGAGCTCGATTGATCAAACACGATGTTGTAAACGGTTCTACCCTACTTTTGGCATTCTTATCGGGTATCTTGTCTTCGCCTCTAATATCGAACCTGTTAGAGGTATGCTGTAAAAGCTGTGTTTTGCAGTTTCTATCAATTCCATTTTGATCTGGCAATCATGTTTCGGTCAAAGTACATATGTTTGCAGTTTATTTATTTATGCAATACATACTCCATGTCTTATATTGAGATAGTGTGGTTCGAAGAGTTTCGAACGGAAAGATCACCTATCGGTTCCTTATAAGACTAAACTATTCGTTCACAGTCTAGACTGGCAGTGAGACCCCACTTGGAAAAAGACTGTAGTGTATTCCCGATTCAGTTGGTCTTTGATTGAAAGATTACACTAGCACTTATGTTAAGTGTTGAACAGGACCACGGAAGGACAAGGATATGAGACTCACTGACCGTTGTCATAACCTAGACTTTCAGTGATTGATGCGTTCTCTTAAGCTGTAAAATAATATAAAATAGGCAT